GCAAAAGAAATTGAAAGTCCAAAATGCTCCCTTAAGCCGAGCAGTGCTCGCTTTGAAGATAGGCTGGGTGGAGGTATTTTCAACGGCAGAATTCGATGTTTCCATCATATTCCTCCCTGCTTACTGCCTCCGTACTGCTTCTGTCGAGACCACTTTTCGGAGACTTTTCTCGCCGTTATTCCACTAAGTTGGGCATTTTGGTGCAAAAGTTCTTGCGTAGTTCGTGCATACTGTAATCCTCATTTTATCCAACTCTTTTGAAGTACGGAGCATGACTGTGAGCCAGGGCAAGGGGACTATGCCTAAATCTAATGAGGTTTTTACGCCGTGTTTTCACTTTTTTCAATGTTAGATGGTATTAGCATTGGATGACGCAAGGAAACGATTAGTGAGCCAGAGGTGGCAGAATATCTCTTTGCTGGCGTAAATCGAGCAGGTCCGAAGAACTCGTACAGTAAGACTGTCAGGGGCTCATTAGGGTATTCTACATGATTTGTTATGCTTTTTCTTCCTTGAAAAGTCAGTTGGCATCTGATATGATCAGAATGAAGTTGCTATCATGAGTCAGCCCTATAACTATTTGAGAATGTGCGACACGTCTGATTGTTGATAAGATACAGTACAGGGAACAGAATGAGATCGATAACAACGTGCTGGGTACGATATCTATTTGCCATCGGCCTGCTGCCCAACATTCTAGGGTCTGAAAGGGTATAATGAGGTTTGAGAACTACTGTTTCCTGGATAGTGGGCACCTTTGTGTGTAGGTGCATTCGCCTCGAACACTGCGATTCTTTTTTTCAGGATTTATTTCTGCATATTTTTGGTATATTCTTGAGGTTTTACGTTCTGTTTCTAGACTTTTTTCTCCAGCTATTATTCCACCAACTCGTTCTTCTATTTGAAAAGAAAACCCCAGTATGTGACATTCACCTGAAACCTAGTTTTTTAGATAGATTAGGGTAGATTATGCTAGACACTTTTTTGTATCAGACCTACGCTTCTTCTCCCTAATGGTAATTCTGTGCCCACAGGGTTCTAGGCATACACTAACCGAAAATAACCGAATGTCATGGGGATGATTTTCAAGGCCGTGTTCATACTCTGCGTCAGTGTTCTGAGCGCACAGCAGAGATTTCAATATTTCGAGCATGCGGCGGCCTTTTGAGCGTTCTGAGCGACTAGCAAAGCATAGGATTCGATCTAGCATACGTCAGCGTTTTCAGCCACTGCCCGCAAAAAGCTCAAAACGCTAAATCGATACCTATACTTTCCTCGTCGCTCAAGACGCTCACCAGGGAAGTCACCGCCAACTTACCATGAACTTTGAATGGAGATAGATCGATGAGTCTATAAGGTTATTTACAAATATAGATAGCAAAACTGCAACCTGCATTTCACAAGCAACTTATGAGCAGGTAAAGTTTGTAATGGTGCAGTAGGGTGGAGGCTTGGTGGTGAGCTGTGAAGCATAAGCGAGGAATCGCATACGTCGAATCGAGTCGTGGTGGTTCAGTGGTAAGGTTCTCGCTTCACAGGCACGATTTGACGTATGCGATTCCTCGCTTATGCTTCACAGCTCACCACCAAGCCTCCACCCTACTGCACCATTACAAACTTTACCTGCTCATAAGTTGCTTGTGAAATGCAGGTTGCAGTTTGCTATCTGTATTTGTAAATAACCTTATAGACTATATCGATTCTACCAGGTCTCCATTCGAAGTTCCATAGTAAAATTGTGGACTTCCCTGGTCGGTACGCTAAAATAAAGTCTGAACGCACCCTAACAGCCGTCTCGGAGTAATCTAGGCCTAGAGACTGCACCTGTATGGCTTCCTTGCCCTCCCCCCCCATTTTTTTTATCTGCTCTTTTCCTTTGCTTAATTTGATGCTGCTTGGATGGCGTTTGGTTTGCTTATGCTATCTTCCTATGCTTATATATTGGGCGACTCGTTGCATGGCACGATTTTTCGCAGATATGTCTGAAGGGTACGAGCCCTTGACATCTAGCCAGAGACCGATTCCAGACATGTCATCACCGGAACGTGAAGCAGAAGAAGGTGGAGCTGGTACTGATCCACATTCACGGCATTCACACATACTTGGATCAGAGTACGTTGGCTAGGCTATTTTTATTTAATTTTATTTTATTCATGGTGACAAATTCTTTTCCTATTTATTTTTTCCGACTTTGTTTCTGTCAATAAATTCTATCAAGGTGAACAATTCTGAGCAGGTACTAGTAGCCCCAGCTGGCGGCGGGAAGGGCGCCCTGTTTCGGTCGCTAGGGGAGAAGGTCGTATTTGGTGTGACTAGTTTTTTTTGAAAAGTTGATTTTCCTGTTTCACGTGCGTTATTTACATCTTTGGGAGAATTTCACTGGGTAGAGGTACTTGTTGATCGTCGTTGAGGGAGAGGAGGTCGCGCTTTATTCTCAACTCTTTGGGAGAAAACTGGAAATTTTTTCGGGAAATCATTTCAGTGAAAGCTTGAAAAAGTAAGAAGAACCGTGCGCAGCGGGCGACCTTTTTCTACCAATGAAGCCAACCCGAGCCCGCTACAACAGGGCATTCTGACACCATGATTCTACTCCAGGACATGCCCCGTCCCTGTTTTGGTGGTTACTTGGAGAGGACTTCCCCGCTTGAGTTATCCTTAGGTTAGATTAATTGAATTTTGAAAACTAAGGGGGGAGGGGCAAAAAAAAAAGACATTTCGACCGAGTCACATATCAGCAAAGTTTTCGCAGCCCAGACAGAGGACGTGGATACGAGTACCAGGGCGGAAGATACCCAAGATGTCCCTCTATTTGCAGGAGCGGCTCTCATCCATCAGCTTTATGTACACCAAAATATGAAGTCATCTCAATCAGCAGCCTGACTGAAGAAAGAACCTTTAAAATTAATGTCTTCTTCAATACAGAAACTTCCTAATAATGGAGTCACCCATGGATAGCTATCTGGAGAGCAGTACTCTTGATCTGCAGGACCTCCAAATCGAGCAGCTCCGTCAACATCGCTACGGTCCAGGACATCATCTTCACCTTAGTCGCCAAGGGCCAGTTGTTGGTGGGGACCGGACGTACCTGGAATGGAGAGACCGATATTTTCTTCGTGGGCTCCGGACTGAAGGTGAGCGCTGGCGGCTACATCGAGCAACTCGAGAAGAATATCCTCTCCACATGTCGTCACCGTACCTTCTTGGAAACTGCTACAGGATTGGGTGACACCACATGGAATCAAAGGTCGTTGGGGAAACTCTTGCCTATTTGGAATGGAAGGGTGTTGAAGTACCTGAAGAAGGTGGAATATCTGAGCAGGTCACTGTCCTAAGCCCGCAATTACAGTCCTCAACATTGCGGACCGACGGGGGTGTCAGCCAGTATGAGTGTGCACACTGTTGGAGCCGTTTCTCAGCCTTTTTGTTGAAACGTATGCGACAAAAAGTGGTAGAAAACGTAAATGGCGAAGGCATAAGTAGCAGTAATTGTCAAATTGCGGCCGCTTCAAGAACTCGGAAGGACGACTTTGGCACCGCGCCAAACGCAGCCGCACTGACACGCCCTAGCGGTCTGCAATGATGAGGACTGTACTTGGTTCGCGCGGAGCTCAACAGGGTGGTCTACAGTGGCCGAGAAATCAACGATCTCGCTGAACTCAGGCACCCACTCACGGTCGCGTGGCAGAATCTCTCGATGGCGCTCCTCCAGAAGGCTGTGGCGGAGTATCGTGATAGTATTTAATATGCTCTTTAATATGGTGGTAGAAATGTCCGATAAGAATTTGAATAAAGTGTAACTCTATAGCGCCTCGAAAGTCAAGGGAGAAAAAAGTTCTTTTTTTGCCGACGCCCCCCCCCCGCTGCCCCCTGTGATTGTAGTTTTTGAAAACTGGTATGGAGTTGAAAGAAGTAAAGAAAGTGGAAGGTAGATCGTGAGAGTGGGTCGAAGAACAAAAGTTGTGGGAGATAGTTGTGTTGGCACAGTGTTTCACCCACCGGGATGATGTACCCTGGCTGTGCTGACACTCCCACAGGCAACTTTATTGATTAATGATCAGTATTATCAATGAGCGCTGCATAATCAAATCGTGTGATTGTCGGGGTTGAGTAGATTATTCAAATTCTCCGCATTCCCTTTCTGTTATGTCATTTTTTGTTTTCCATGGCGCAACGTCGCAATACGCTACCAACTTTAGTGACAGAGTAAGTATAGAAGTGTTTTTGTAATTCTTTTCTTGTGTATTTATCCGCGTCCATGAGACTGGTGTGGTGTAGTGGTAAGTGACATGCTTACCGCGCGCGCGGTCCGGTGGTCAAATCCTGGATGGGTTCCCGCTCAGGCCATCCAAACCTTTCACCCTAGATGGGGTCAATTGGTTCCAGATTGGTCTGGTAGGTAAACACACTGACTTGTACATCGGCTGGCCACCGCAAGTCATTGTATAGGCCACATCGCATTCAATAAGCCACTACGATTCTGAATGGAAGTAGAATGCGTGCCGCATCCCACAAGGGGGTTGAGCAACGGCGATAATCCTTTTTCTGCGCCAGTAAGAGACAGCCTGGCACCGTGCCTAGGGTTAAATAATGCTGGCGCTATAACGTAGAGACGTGCGTTGTTGCTCGCAACGAGCTTAAATGCTGTAGCGAGTGTCAAGGACGTCCCACATTTGAGGCGGAGGTGGTGTAGTGGCTAGTGTCCACCTTACCAGGCAGACTCTCCGGAGGTCAAAACCAGTATTCAACACCGTCTGAGTCAGCAAAGCATCCTAGCTCCTCGGAGTACTAGTCGTGTAGGAGAGGGTAAAATCAGTGACTTGTACATCGATGGACCCGCGCAACCGCACAAGAATTGTGACCATACCACCATAGGAATACTACCTGTATGAAGGTGGAATGCATGCCGTATCCCACAATGAATTTGGTCAATATTGAATAGAGGAGGAAGCACAGAAATTTACGGTTTTTAATTTTTATTCTCTCAGTTATGAGTAATCGAATTGTGGTTCAGGCTTCCCTGTTGTGAATTTCTCTTTCCTTTCAGCGCAAAAGGCACACATCTCTACCAGGTGTTAGGTGTCGATAAAAAGGCTACTCCAGAAGAGATCAAGCGAGCGTATCGAAAGTTAGCCCTGAAATATCATCCCGACAAAAATCTAGATGGTCACGTGAATTGGTACGTGCTATTTCCTTCTTTTTTTCGCTTTTTTTTTTTTTTTTTTTTTGGATTAGGTGATTTTGCTAATGCTGTGGTTCCGACCTGAAACAATAATAGTTGAGCGCAGCCTCTTATTCAAGAAAAAGGGTGATTTGTGAAATTGAAACTGTGAAATTTGGGGCAGATCCTAGAAAGTGCCTGATTTGGATACTGTTATCTGCGCTTCAAGAATAACGCCGTGACAGCTTGTCTGTTGCAACCCTGCTGCTTTTGATTTCGTCGGAACTTCGACATCAACGCCCAAGATAGTAACATCTTGACGTCTGGTCAGTAGCCAACCAAAGGTTATCGTACATCATTTCGCAGCGGATTATGGGGCGTGTCGGTTCGTATTTTTCCACCAGTTGTTGTCCCTTACCCGCTTCAACAACTAGCGGAGAACGGGGTAGGTGCGTGCCAAGCTCTTACTTTACTTACGCTCCTCAATCCAGACAACACTATACTGTTACCGCAGTGGTTGTAATCAGTTCCGTCCGTAGAGTATCTAACCGTTTTGCAGATGGCAATCGCTGTCCTTAAAGTTGTACTAGAATAGTCCTTAAGTCCAAGTTTAGAAGAGGAGAGAGGGAGGGTGTTCACAAGGCTACCTTTGCTACAGCAAGTGTTTTGTTCTGTGGTTTATTGAACTGTGTTTTTGCTTTGTGGTATCTCCGCTCATTTATTGTCGACAGGAAATTTTTCATCGTTCTGGTGCGTTATATAGAGACGGTAGAAACGAGTTCTTGATGACCATATAGGTTCACTGTAAACGCTTCTCCAGAGCACTGGGGAAAATATTTGCATGTTCAGCGATTCTATAATTTCATTTTTCAACTTAATACTCTCAAACTGAGAAACGTATTTCTTATTTCAGTTCAAAGAAATCAACTATGCGCATGCTGTGCTGTCCAATCCAAAAAAGCGACAGGTACTTATTTCTTGTTATTTTCTGAGAAATTCTGAGTTGAGGTTCTTGTTTTTCTTTGTAGTACTGCTTATTGATTCTTCGGCACCGTTCGGTTTGGTGGGGCACCAACTAGTGCTCAGCAAAACTAGTTGGCAGTTGGCACGATGATTTCCTACTTAGCCTAAAATGCTAGTAGGGCGCTGTATAGTGGGGAAATGGCGAAAGAACGGTCAAAATCCTGCGAAGAAAAAGCCTCCGTTCTCAGTGACTTGTAAATCGATTTCGGACGAGTTTCCCGTAGGCATCTTACCAATCCGCTACCGAAGATACGGCTGCATATGTGTACCCATGCAGCATCACGGCCGCTTCATACCAATCCCTTCGCTTCATAATTTGCTTAGCAAATGAATGAATACGAGCGTCAGGAACGGTCGTCCATTTGTGGGCGGGCGGGCGTGGCGGGCGTTTGGGACGTAAAGTTGTGGCTTGATAGGGCCCTTATAAGGGCACCTTCCTCGGGGAAACCGCTATGCAGCGCCTGCCCAGGGTCGCGGAATTCTATCCTGCCAGGAGTATTGATCCTAGTCGTCGGATTTATCGTGCCAACTGCCTTTAAGAGTTACTACAACTAAAAAGCCCACCTATAGCTCAGCTCACCTACAATGCAAAATGTTCCCGCCTCCCCCCCCCCACCGAACAGTGGCGCTAACTCTTATCATGCTATTTATATTCCCGCTTTTGATATATATCGCACCTTCTGCAGGTGTATGATGAAATGGGAGACGCTGGGTTGAAATTGTTAGAACAGTTTGGAGAAGATGAAACTGTGTTGCATTGGTTGTTGAAGCCCTGGTTCAAGGTGAGTAATTCAATATTTCAGTTGTTTCACTAGTTCTTTTTTTTGTGATCGGGTATGTATTAGGAACTGTCCTGGTAGATTTTTCTTTGACATTTCAAGCGCACTTGGAAAAGAATGTTTGTCAAATGAGAGGGGTAGGGCATTCTGTTGATCCCTGTTGGGCTCGTAATAACTAAGTCTACGAAGTGTCAGTGGCTCCATCCATGCCACTTCTTCGTTTTCCTGATTTTGGGCGGCATATAGTGCAGAGAGGTGTTAATATAATATATGTATAATGTTTATAGGCCATTGGAATGGTGATTTTGCCTAAACCTGTAGCGTAGGCTTGAGTTGCCTAAGTCTCTGAAGGGAAGAAGCTTCTGGGAAGAAGAAGCAATGCGAAAAGGCGAAGCGCCTTTTCTCGCCTAATTTGGCTGGTGTCCAAAGAGGCAAAATAAGTCCACGGTGGTGGGCCCATGTCACGCCTCTATATTCCTACAAAAGACATTTTGAGAGCTTTTTCTGTTATTCCAGCAGCAGAAGCTAAAAGATCCATAGCTCGAAAACTATAGGCTCTAAGTGTTTGCAGGGATAAGGAAGATTTTGGTTGTATTTTAGTGGGTATTCTTTGGATTCGGATTGCTCACATGTGGTTTCTTCTGCTGTTGCTGTGGCTGTTTATGCTGCTGCAAATGCTGCTGCAACTTCTGTTGTGGCAAGTACGTACCGAAAGTTCCAGAGGTGAGTCGTTAGAATTTTTCTCGGTAAAAATGACGTTAAATTTGCGCTAAAGTGCGCCTTAAGTTTTTACACCTTATATTTGCCAGAATTTTCGTGGATAAGTAAGTGCTCAGCAATCTGTGACAGTTTTGCTCGAAAAGTACTTTTGCGTCATAAACTAGTTTGGCGGACAGCAGTCTCGAAAACCTGGCAATTTCTCGCTATCGATATGTTTTGCGGTGTTGGAACCACTCAATGCGAATGTGTAATAAGGTCTTCAATGTGTAATAAGGTCCCGTGCTCACATACCGCGTTCATACTTTTCGACTAAGGAGATTCGGCGATTTGGTG